GTGCGGGCGCGTGCAATGAATAAACTGACTGATATATTTAATATGGTTGTAACTTTTATATTTTTTGATAAAATGTTTTGAAACTCATTATATAAACATATATAAGTTGTGTAGATAAGATGACATGGTCAAATTTGCATGAACTTACGCGCATGCACGTGCGCTTTGCTCTGATTGGCTGAAACAGAAATCTTAATATCTTTTTTGTTTTATGATGAAATGCTTTGAAATTTATAACATAGACATGTATTAGGATGTACTACAATATGATATATAAAATTTTTCATGAAATCACGCGCATGCACGTGCGCTGCAATCTGATTGGCTGAAACTTTAAATGACTATAACTCCCTTGATTTTCAACCAAACAGCATGGGATTTAAAACATAGATAGACATAAAGGACTCCTACAAGATGGTTTGGTCACCATTCACATGCATGCACGTGCGTGCACGTGCGCTTTGCTCTGATTGCCTGAAACAAAAATCTCAATATCTTTTCTGTTTTTTTACAAAATGCTTTGAAATTTAAAACATATGCATACTTTAAGATGTCCTACAATAAGATATATAATAATTGTCATGAAAACACGCGCATGCACGTGCGCTGCAATCTGATTGGCTTAAACTTTAAATGGCTATAACTCCCTTGTTTTTCAACCAAACAGCATGGGATTCAGAACATAGACAGACATAATGGACTCCTACAAGAAGGTATGGTCATCATGCACATGCGTGCACGTGCATATGAGTAAAATAGTGTAGACAAGATGATATCGTCATTACGCTCATGCAATCACATGCGCACGCCTGCATTGCTTAAATTTGAAATACTTGGTATACTTTTGGGAAAACGTTATTTACGTCTTAAATGCATAGATTTTGCCTTCTTTAATGAAAATTACAGGGAATATGGCACGAGAAGGGAGTTGGGGAGCGTTTGGGGAACATCTGTAACGGTTCCCGTTACAATTAGCACTAGTTATTATTATTATTTTTTTTCTTATTTCTTCTCCTGTACTTTTTTTGTCCGCGAGTGTTCTCAGAAACTGTTCACCCAACTGAGCTAAAACCTTTTTAGGGTTAATAGGTGTGTAGTGTAGGTGTGCGGAACGAAGGTCATTTTGCGCGCATACGCACGCACGTGCGTGCGCGTGAAATGAGTGAATTGACTGATATACTTTAAATAGCTATTACTTTTACATTTTTTGATGAAATGATTTGAAACTCATTATATAAAGATATATTAATACTATTGATAATGTGACACTGTCAAATTAGCACGAACTCACGCGCATGCACGTGCGCTTCGCTCTGATTGGCTGAAACAAAAATCTCAGTATCTTCTCTGTTTTTTGATGAAATGCTTTGAAATTCAAAATATAGTCATGAATTAGGATATCCTACAATATGATATAGAAAAAATTTCATGAAATCACGCGCATGCACGTGTGCTGCAATCTGATTGGCTGACACTTTAATTGACTATATCGCCTTTGTTTTTTGTCGAAATGCTTTGAAATTTAAAACATAGTCATACATTAGGATGCCCTGCAATATGATATACAAAAAATTTCAAGAAATTACGCGCATGCACGTGTGCTGCGATCTGATTGGCTGAAACTTTAAATGACTATATCTCCTTTGTTTTTTGACGAAATGCTTTGAAATTTAAAACATAGTCATACATTAGGATGCCCTGCAATATGATATACAAAAAATTTCAAGAAATTACGCGCATGCACGTGTGCTGCGATCTGATTGGCTGAAACTTTAAATGACTATATCTCCTTTGTTTTTTGACGAAATGCTTTGAAATTTAAAACATAATCATTCATTAGGATATCCTACAATGCCATATAGAAAAATGATCATGAAATCACGCGCATGCACGTGTGCTGCAATCTGATTGGCTGACACTTGAAATGGCTATAACTCCCTTGTTTTTCAACCAAACAGGATGGGATTCAGAACATAAATAAATATAAGGGACTCCTACAAGAAGGTATGGTCATCATGCACGTGCACGCACGTGCGTGCATTTGGAACGAATGAAATTAGAAATACACTTGAATGAGTGATTTTTAATAATTTTGGACTGAATGCTTTCACAAATAGTATATTACAGGGAATATGGAACTAAAAGGGAGTTGGGGAGCGTTTGGGGAACATCTGTAACGGTTCCCGTTACAATTAGCACTAGTTTCAATTCTTTCTGTTAAGAAAGCAATAGGTCAAGACAATATTAGTCACAAGATGTTGAAATCCACCATGTATGCTATTCTAAAACCATTATGTTTAACAGGTGATTTGTTGATCGTATTTTTCCTGTAATTGAAAAATTGCTATGTTCTCTCTTTATTTAAGAAAGATGATCATTCCATTATGTCTAATTCTAGACCTGTGTCATTGTAAAGTTGTATTGGTAAAATAATGGAACGAATCATATTCAAACACTTGTATAATCACTTCCGTGATAACAATCTTTTTTATAAACTGCAATCTTGATTTTTTACCAGGTCATTCCACTGTATGTCAACTAATAGAAACATATGATACTATTGTTAAGCTAATTGACGACGATGAAAATTGTTGCAAAATATTCTGTGATTTTTCTAAAGCATTTGATCGTGTGTGGCATAAGGGTCTCTTGTTTAAACTCAGAACTTATGGTATAGAGGTACGGAAGCCCATTAGTGCCAACCTCTATATATAAAGGAAAAGCAATATATATAAGCAAACCTCTATATATAAAGAAAATGCGATATATATAAACAAAACCTCGATATATATAAAGAAAATGCGATATATATAAACAGAACCTCGATATATATAAAGAAAATGCAATATATATAAACAGAACCTCAATATATATAAAGAAAATGCGATATATATAAACAGAACCTCGATATATATAATGAGAAATGCGATATATATAAACAAAAACTCGATATATATAAAGAGAAATGCGATATATATAAAGGGAAAATTTTCCATCACGTGATCCGTATCCCACAGATCTCGATCGAATGATATACAGATTAACCCCAGGCAGGGGAGAAACCAGTAATACCACTCCTGTAATTACGTTCACTTTACAGAAGCAGCATAATGGTATGTATTATTTAATACTCTTTATCTATATTTCATCATGTTCATACACAATGTATCAATGAGTTGTATAACTTTGCAAAAGAGCGCATACATGTAATCTATTGAATAATTTAATGAAGTTTTTTCTGCTTATATATTTTTCATGTTTTAGGTGAGCTTTATTTTGACGACCTTCCTTGTTCTATGCTTTACAAAAAGAAACTTTGCTGTTTTACCTTTGGCTCCACAGTTAAGAAATTATGAGACTGAAGAGGAATTACTCAGTGCGTATATGTCAGAAGGATATTCTTACGATATAATACTGACGTTTCTGACCACGTATCATGGTTTTGAATGGAGTTTAAGGTCTCTTAAAAGAAGGCTTAAATCATTTAACTTGTTTCGGAGGAAAAACCCAAGTCCGATAGGAACTGTAGAAGAAAAAATTAGATTAGAGTTGAGTGGACCCAGCGGAAATGTGGGTTACAGAGAAATGTGGAAATTGTTGAAGTTTAAGTATCAGTTGTGTGTTTCTAAGAATACGGTAATGCGGCTATTACAAAGATTGAATCCCGAGGGAAGTGTAAGAAGAATCAGACGCCGTCTTCAAAGACGTGTCTATGTAAGTAATGGCCCCAATTTTACATGGCATATTGATGGCTTTGACAAGTTAAAACCATATGGGTTTGCCATTCACGGTGCAATTGACGGATTTTCAAGACGAGTTCTTTTGTTAGAGGTGGCTGCATCTAACAGCGACCCGGCCGTAATTGGGGAATATTTTCTTGATTGTGTCGAACAATTGCAAGGATGTCCTAGAAATCTTCGAACAGACCCAGGCACTGAAAATGGTATTCTAGCTACAATTCAGACAATATTTACCAATGATCCTTCTAGTCATTCCTACGTGACGTCAGTAAGAAATCAAAGAATAGAAGCTTGGTGGAGTTATTTTAAAAGGAACAGAGCACAGTGGTGGATGGACTATTTTTCGGACATCTATGACTTTGGAATTTATAATCCAGATAATAAATTCCAACGTTCATGTTTTCAATACTGTTTCATGGACTTTATCCAAAGGCAGTTGAATGAAACTGCAATGGCATGGAATTGTCACAGAATAAGACCAAATACCGGGTCTTGTCCGGCTGGAATTCCAAACGAAATTTTTTTCCTACCAGAACTTTATTCTAAATGTGACTTTAAAAGGCCCGTCACTGCACAGGAAATCGAACATCTCCGACAAAACACGAAATCTAAGTCTATCTGTGACGATTCTGAAGTTTATGAATATCTTAACCTAGTAAAATCAAGAATTCATTGGAGAACTGCGACTGATGTTGAAAGCGCATTACAGAATTACCTTGAGTTAATGCACATATCTGGCGAGTAATACCTACATGTTGTTCAAGTTTTCATTTTTGCAATATAAATGTCTAAAGAAGTGACATATAAAACAATGAAAATAAAATCAATGAATGCAAATTAACATGGCTTTATTTGTCATACATGTAACACGTATTTGATAATGGCATAAACACGTAGAAATGCACCCTCTCCCTCTACATTCTTGTGGCTGACTGATATAGAGATTTCATGGAGCAATCTACTTTTCCCAGTTTAATTGAGCTTCTAAAATTTACACAGACTATAAATGATATATTTACATATCAAATTTATGCAAAGATGTACGTAGGTCTTAATAATAGATGTACACAAGCAAATAAAGACCATAATATGAGGACAGATTAAGTCAGATATTAGAATTGTATTAAGCGTAGATTTACCTAATAAACATGGTTTTAAAATGTAATTTTGATTAATGTAAAAAAAAAAATACCCATAAAAAATGATTCAGAATTTTTTTTATCAGGAAAATTAATTTGAAATTTAGGCGTGTTTGTTCTCATGTAATGACCATGCAATTAAACTATGCCCGACCAAAATTTGGGGCATTTAAAATTCCGAATTCCATATTTTCCTTGAACATTTCAAAAGATGGATGAATTGGAATTTTCAATTCATTCCCACAGGTATTAGCAATGGGGAACTTTCCTCCCCCCTCCTCTTCGTGTAGAAACGACAGAACAGGAGAAGGACTGAGTCCGAGTGGCGGCACTCTGTTTGTTCCAGTTGCAAAAATCAATAAGTGCTCCAAAGTCACCACAGTGGCTCCCTCTGTAAAAGCAAATTATATGTAAATTTAAAAAAATTTCATTTTCATATTTTTTTACTGGGAAAAAATAGTTTCAATATAATTTTCATTGAATAATTGGAAATAACCATTAAATACGTATACAATTTCTCTCTACAGAAAGTTATTTTCATAGAAAAATTAAACAATGCCCAGTACCCTCTGCATCTTGTAAAAAGTCCCGCCAATATCCAACCAGTCTGTCCTCGACTGTTCTCCGGTTACTTCCGGTGGGACTGACACATGGACGGAAAATATCCTCCATCGATATCGCCGTCAGTTTGATGTTGGTGAACATTAGGCAATCTCTAAAACTCTCTGGATATGACTGAATGGTGGCCAGCACACCCAGGGTTTGTAATCCAGACTTAAATCTAACCAGAAAAAAAATAAATTTTATACTATTAGATACCTGCAAATGAATCGGAAACATAAAAAAATAATTACTAGTAGATTAATCCCTCGATTTTTTATTTTGCAGGGTTACTATAATTAATATATAAGTATAATAGATTTAAGTTAAAGTAAAAAAGTAAAAAAAAAAAAAGAATACCTGTCAAATGCCGTACGTGTCCTCTCAAGACAGTACCATTTGATCATATCTCTGATTAGTGGCACTTTGTCCTCGATCGATCGTACGTGATGGAAACATCCCGCTAAAGTCAAAGTGCTGCTGTTGGCTTCCATTGAACTTCTTAACGTAGGTCGCGGGGTTGCTGACGTCATTAAAACTGGGTACGCAATTTATATGATTTGGGCGACTTTCTTGTGCACATCTGATTATGACGTCACATTTTAGGAAGCAAAAGTTTTAAATAATGATTTTCAGTATGCAAAATAAATTAAAATTTAAGAAATCTATTTTATAATGAAAAATTTTTTTTTTTAATTCCAGCTATCGAATCAATACAACCGTAGTTAATTGAAAAAAATATATTTATATACATTTATACCGAAAGTATTGTTGATAACTCATAACAACAAGGGCTAGTGTTTTGCAATTAAAAATTCCTATTTTGGTTTATAAGCATCAGTCTATATTAATGTTCGCCTGTAAGCCCTTGGATCCTCACTGTTCTGCCTTCAGGGAGAGAGAAAGAGAGAGAGAGACGTTTCAATTTATAAATTTACAAATATATATATTATATACGAGCGACATATATAATTTTTTTCTCCAGTTATTCTTATTATCGGTCACAGCGGTCGATCTATTAGTGGTTGTGTTAGAATGTGCACATGATGAATTGAGGCGTTATTTTTTCATTGTCTCGATGAAATAAAATTTTTGATTGAACACAAATATAGAATTCATAAATAAAATTTAACAACTTCACACATGTTCATCATGACAATAAATTAGAGGTAAACATTACTGAGTATTTGTTTTTTACAAAATGAAATTTCGAACAAAATATATCAAAAGATTTGGCGCAAATTTTATAAGCCTACGTCATTTTTAAAATATGTAAACGTCATAAATGAAAAACGGCTCGGTGCCATGAAGCACAAGGGAAAATTTATTTCTGTGCGAAAGCAAAATCGCTTGGAAAATTTAAAACGAAAGGAAAACGCTTCCGTAAATGATGGAAAGAAAGAGCAAAAAGGCACAGATGAACAAAAAGACAAAAATGATTCCTGGGCCGAGGGGAGAAGAATAGTAGAGCTAAGCGTATTGGCTCAAGGTTTGAAGGAGTGCGTTTTCTGCAAAGACAACTTAAGATTAGATGCTTGTGTTGACGAGACAAAGTATGGATTGGCGTCTATTCTGTACGTAAAATGTGTAAAATGCAACAACTTGAATTCAGTGCCTACCGGTAAGAGACACACAACGAATGTGGATGGGAAAGGACCGCCTAGATGCTTTGACGTTAATACAAAGCTTGCTGCAGGTAACCCTCCCCCCTAACAATATGACTTTAATGCGTATTAATAATGCTGTTTACAACAGATTTAAAACTTACTTTTAATACGTATTTACAAGACTAAAATAATAATAAATAAATAAAAAACAGTTTTAAAAAAATTGTCAACCATTTAATATAGATACCGGTAAAAAAGAAAAATATTAGTTTTTTGGACAGGTGTTAATGGGGGATGATTAATTTTGATATTATAGCAATGCTGCATGCTGGTATTGGTGAACAGCAGGTTAACAATATCCTCGCAGAGCTTAACCTTCCCTCTATTCACCACAAAACTCTAAAAGAACGGGAAAGAGAAATAGGATGTGTTATGGAGGATATCGCAGAGAATTCTTGTAATGCTGCAATTCAGGCTGAAATCATTTGTTCTAATAGGTATATTTACTTAACACATTCAAAATACTTAACCCCCCCCCCCTTAAAAAAATGCATAAAATCAAAAATCACTACTGGGGAAATTCTTTTATAATATTAATTATATATGTGTAAAAAGGGGTTAAATTTCTAAAATTTATTCTCCATGATACATGTAATCATGTCATGTATTTTCAAAAGTTAATCGAAAAAAAAATTCTTCATCAGCGGAGACGCTCCAGATCTAAGTTGCAGCGAGGGTGCAGAGGTTTCATGCGACGGTGGCTGGCAGAAAAAAAGGAACAGGACGCAATTATAATAGTTTATCTGGTAAATATGAAATTAAAGTCAATACTTGATATTCAAAAAGCGGTGTTTAGCAATACAACCACCCCCCCCCTCCCACTTGCTTTCTAAATACATGTACTTGTATGAATTTTCTTGTCATAGACCATAGAGAGTACCTTTCAATATGTCAATTTTAACACATAATAAACATCGGTTTATAGTGATGGGGGTGTCCGTCCCTCGTCTGTCCGTTATGCTTTAGGGTACCCATCTTTTGTCTGCTACTTCTCTTGTTAATACAAAGAGAGATAACTCTAAACATGGTAAAACTTGTATTTTTCAGACTATAGAAATAAACGAAAAACGGAAAATATTTTAACACCCCCCCCCCCCCCTTGTGACACAAAGATTACTTTTTACAGTTTATATGGACTATTATTTAACAAATTCCTACCAAAGCTTTTTGTGTGTTGAAAACGACAAAAATCTTAAATATTAATGCTTAATTTTTTACCAATTTCAAAGTGAAACATTATATTTTATTAATATATTTATGTTTTATTTATTTGCCTAAAATATAAGAAAAGATATAAGGAACATTTAATCACATCATTTAAACTGTTTTTATATACCTTTTCAATAAACTCACACGAACATATTTAAATGCTTGATATAACTTTTTTTGAAGGACATGTAACGGTTGTTGGGAAGAGTACAAAAAAGTGCCTTTCTTATGGTGTGGCGTGCAAGTCTTGTAGAAAATGCCAGTATCGAAAAAGAGGAAGAGGTTTATGTAAATCTCACAGCTGTAGAAAAAACTGGAGCGGTTCAGCTAAAGGCATGGAACCTTTCCTAACCGTGAAGTGCATCAAGTCTTTGAAAGAAAAAGGCCTGGATGTACGAAAACTTATCATGGATGACGACAGCACTACATTTTTGAGAACTAAAAAGGCAGTACCAAACATTACAAAAAGTAGCGATAAAAACCACGTAGTCCGGAATTTGTCCAACGCATTATATAAGGTCAAAGAAACCCATGGAGGTCTTTCTGTGAAAACCATAAAATACTTCAAGAAATGTTTTGCGTATACAATTCAACAAAACAAAAATGACGTAGAGGGGATCCGAAAAAACCTGTATGCAACAGTTCCGCATGCATTCGGAGATCACAGTCAATGTAACTCCAGTTGGTGTGGATTCCTTAAAGATCCAAGCACTTACAGACATAAATCACTGCCCTCGGGAAAAGATCTTGTTGGAGAAAAACTAAGAGAAGCCCTGCAGGATGTTTTCCAGAAGCATGCTGAAAAAGCTGAAAAGTACATAGATCTTGGATCATCAAACGCAAACGAAAATTTAAATCAGATGATAGCAAAGAAGGCCCCTAAAGCTCAACACTACTCAGGATCAGAGAGCCTTTCTTACAGAGTTGCCGCTGCTGTTGCCCAAAAAAACGAAGGTCACAAGTACATTTTGCAGGTAAAGCTGTTTTAATGTTTTAATAAAATGTATTGCAATGGGCGGATCATTTTCCCGTTTCATGAATGAAGAGGGTGGCTGACCTTTTTGTAACGATCAAATTAATCAAAGAGTAAAAACACCTATGTATACCCGTATGTAATTATTCATGACAAAATATATTTTGAGTGTAAAAATTTAACAATCATTTTTTTTAAATCAAAAAGAAATAATCCATATTACAGCAGACATGAAATCTAAAATATAAATGAATATCTTAAGCTGGGGGAAGATTTTGCATTATTTCTTTTTCTTCAAAAGGTTAATTCAGCATGCAACTTGTCTCCTGGGAAACAAACTGAAAAAAGACAAAACCTTCTGGATAAAAAAAGGTCCACAAAGCACCAATTCCAAGGTACCTACAAAGCCAAGGTAGAACGTCTTAAACTTCGGGAACAGAGGCAAACATCGGAGACAACAATGGAACTCTGCGAAGGCACTACATACGCTACAGATATAGAATTGTCAGCGACAAATGATGAGTTAGAGGATCTTATCACGGAAATTCCCATGTCTGAAAGAAAACCATCGAAAATTTCACCTCTATCTCCTGAAACATCTAGTATCATTGTAGCTGATCTGGAAACCACTGGTTTAGGTAATTAATATATATAAATATTTAAAACTATCAGGGCAGGCAACTATTTTGTTTGCATGATTAACGTAAACTTTTTTACCAGCTTTAATTACTATAAATTTGGTAAAAAGTAGTGTTTTTTTTCTTTCAGCGACAGATAGTTCCATCATCCAAATAGCTGCTAGTAGCTATTGTACGGAGGACACCTTCTCCAGTTTTATACGTCCTCAAAATGGTTATATCCCTAAAACGGTTTCAAAACTGACAGGCATCGAACTGCATGGTTTGACCATGTTCTCCGACATGGTACCGGTCCGATCCATGGGAGAAAAGGAGGCACTGTTAAAGTTTGTGGAGTGGATGAGAAAGTATGACTCCGTTCTAATCGTGGCTCACAATGCATGTTTTGATGCTCGGATCTTAATATCTGCATTCAACAGGCACGGAATCACCGATCATCTTAAAAGTATTGTTGGTTTTTCAGACTCCATTAAAGTTTTCAAAAAGGCATTCCCCAGTCAATCATCTTACAAGCTGCAGCATTTGGTTCAACAATTTGGTACAGACCTGCCACCGGTCCAAGCCCACAATGCTGTTAACGATGTTCTGGTACTCCGCCACATGTTGCTGAAAATACCCAGCGCCTCAGATTCTCTCCGACAATCTGCTTTTTCTGTCGAGCATGTCTCACTCCAGATCAAAAAGGCGCAAAACAAACAAAAAAATTTAGACGGCTATGACCAGTTGATAAGCCAAAATGTTTTGACGAAGACCCAGTGTTCAAGCTTAGCATCGCATGGACTGTCCGTGAAACACGTGCAACTTACATTTAATAGAGCAGGGGTAGATGGGCTTAAGGACGTACTGAAAGGGAAAATTAAAAAAATAAGTATTGCTGCTGAAAAACTAGCTCGACACTTTTCACAAGCAACATCCTAATTTAGAGTGAGTTAATATCAATGTAATGTACTGGTAGATACGAGGATATGAATCCTATTAATGGGATTAGCATGACGTTTTTCATTTTTGGATTTGGAATTTGATAAAATGCTTAAACGATATTTCAAGCTGTATGATGGTTACATGTATTTTTATGACATTATCAAACAAAACTTCTTTCGTATTCAGATAATAGTTTGTAAACTGCCTAAATGTTAACCCCCCCCCCCCCACCTTAATCCCTATCAAATATATTTTATACCTATATACACCTTATTAACATATATTAATACATAAGATTCTTTCTTTATTCACTTTATTTTATTTCTTGTTTCCTTTTGACGCAGTGTAAATCAGAAAATATACGCGACGTCAAGCATGACGTCGTGGGCGCTAGTAGCGTAATTCATTAAAAATGTCTTTTTTCGCCATTCAAAAGTTACTATGTACATTTAATTTGTGAAAAAACGAGCCCGAATACATATGATGTTTTTACATGTATTTAATTCAAATAATCTCGATGTGATTTGGGCAAAAAATCAATAATTTCGTCTGCACCATTTAAGAGATATTAATATTTTTTAATAAAAAGTATTATCAGAAAAAGGGTTTAAAAAATACGTTTTCTCTATATAATTCAATAGAATAACGCTGAAAAGCTTGCGTCAACAATGGCATGTTCGGGAGTGAATTGCATGAAAACGATGCAGACAATTTTTATCAAATTTTCAGAAACTATAAAATGAAATCAGGGGATTCATGTAACAAATTTTCAGGGTATGTTTTCGAGCGATTTTAAAAGGTCAGTAACCCCGCGACCTACGTTAAATTGTTCAGCGTATCTGCTTGCAGTATCTGAAGAATCGTGATAAATGAATGGGTAAATAATTTAGCTTGTTAAAATAGTATTAAACATTTTATATATATAAAAAATTAAAGGTATTATTTTACTATGAAATTTTAAATGCATTAAATTGTACGAAACTAAATTTTATACTATACCGAGTTGAGTGATTGTTTGAATTCAGATTCGGGGATATCGTCAATCGTAGGATGTACATTTTCCGGACCAAACACTAACATATCGAAAAACATTGGAGGTGGACCTCCATGTACTAGATCAACGGCAACCATAACACCAGCCAGATAGTATTCGTCCCGTTGTATAGCTAGTGAAAAGATATTATATTAATGTTAGTACATGGACATTACTTTTATGTCATTAAATTGCTCTGTGAATATTATCATAATCTTTCTTACCATGGCTATTCAAGGTAAGAATCCTGGACGTCGTGGGACCTTCAAACAAAGTGCTGTTCTGTAGTGCATCCATTAGAAGACGGAGAAACTCGCCTCGTGGTCCGCCTTGGTCTACCGCCTCCTCTGACAATCCAGTATCATCAGTAAATTTAACGAGCAAGATGTTGTTTGGTGCAAATGTGGACCTTCTAAAGCCCCTACAAGCCCCGTCCCACACATTTCTCCTGTTTATGTTAAATCGAGAGATGTCATTTGATTGAATTTGCAGAGAAAGTTCCTGGAGAATTTCCACAGTTGATCGCGGGGGTTGAGAACTGAAAAAATAAGACCCTTTAGTTTTAAATTCATGATATTCCAAGCTTTATCAAAGTGTACTTTCTCGGTTTCTTAGTTTCAAATTATTGAATGAAATATGAGAATACTCCACCTGCAAGCCATATCCGCTGTTTGCGTATTTTTTGCCTCAGAAGGACTTGGTGGATTAAGATCTTCTTCCTCATCTGAACCATCTGATATAATTGTGATATACTCGCTAAAATGTAAAAAAAAAAAATCACATTATTTATTCACTGTAAGTTCTTTTAACTAAATTGTCATTTAAACAGGACTTAGTATCATAATCATTTTTTTTCTTATAGATTGAGTTTCTTTTGTAGTTTTAAATATGCCTAGAAATTGCTATGTAATTTTATTGCAGCACAGCCAAATCCTTCGCTAAAAATCTACTCATTTGGAATACTGAGACCCACTAAGCCCCACCTACATATGCCCTCCCCCCACTAATTTTATGTTACTGTAAGGTATTAGTTGTGTATAAAGACCTGTAGGTTGAGGGTTGCTCCATTCTGTCGTTTTCTTGTTTTATTACTCTCGTTTCTGCATCAAGTACTCGATTCTCTGGTTTTGGTGCTGGATTTACAGAATCTATATTTTGGGTCTCTCTTTCAGGTGCACGATTCCTTGATTTTGTAGCTGGCCTTTTACGTTTTAGTATTTCTGGTGTTCCGAGCTCCTCCCATGAATCATCACCTACCTTCAATCGAAAGTATACATATACATGTACATATGTATAAAAATATAAACAAAATAAAAATAGACCTATAAGATCAGGGGATGACAAATCCCATTGCCCGACGCCCGGGGCTAGTGAATTTTAGGATTGGCCAAGTAAAATTTTAGCAACCATTTGCCCGTGGGTAAGTGACTTAATCAATTATCAAAAATAAAATCAATATGTATGCCAATATTTTACTCAGTATTTGTCTTTCTCTTTTTTGAAATATTTATAAATACAGTATTTATAAGCTAATGGTAGGGCAGGCATAAATTCAGGTAGGGCAAGTTAATTTTGACCATGTACTTGCCCTTGGGCAAGTGCCTTAAAAATCTATTTGTCAGCCTCTGTATAAGTGTAATATACTGTAGTTCTTACCTCATTTTTGTTATTCAGTTTTGGATCTGGGAGGTCATCAGAATCGCTGCTGTTCGATACATCTGGAGAATATGATAATGCATTTAATGATATTTATTATTATATAACAGGAAAAAAGTGACTCTGGATGAAAATATAGACCATCCCCGAACTAACTCGAAATAACTTACTTGATTCAAATTCTGTTTTCGGGCATATGTACAATTGCATATTCTGGAATGGCTTTCCAAGAAAATCTTTATACCCTCTGACAGTAAAAACATTTGTTGTTCCCGGTATACTACTAGCCCTGGATCCATCTTATAACAGAATGTATTCCTCTGTTGGGAGCATCTTATTGTTTTTATGATGCTTGTCTGTTGCCACCTTTAGGACATCCGTTTCTGTATTGCTAGGGAAGACTTCTATTGGCAATAATGTTCCCCGTTGATATTTCAGTGTGCCAATGGTGAGTCTCATCACTCCGACATTTATCTATGAAATATAATTTAAGAATTCGACTTTTTAAAAATGTGCCCAATGGATTTCAATAAAATTATAAATAAACCCAATCAACTGATTAGTGAGCTTACAAAAAAAAAGAATATCATGGACGTAGCGCCGCTCCTGCTCGTCGTTTTGAAATTTGGGGGGGGGGGGGGGGGGGTGGCAACCAGAGAAAAAAAATATCATCTTATACCTAAAATAGTTGACAAGCAAAAGTAAAAAATGAAAAATTTCCAAACTCAGAAATCTCATTTCGTGCGCCAAGGGGGTGGAGGTTGGGTTAGGTTCCAACTTCTTTTCAGAGTCAAATTTTATCCATAGAATTCCACTTACCCTTATTTGACTACACACAACGAAAAGTGGGGGAGGGGTGGCTTTCAATAAACATAAAAAATGATGCTCCGGAAAAGAGGCAAGGATCCCCCATTATAACCCCCTTGCTACATGTACATGTATATGCCTAATTATAGTTCTTTTTTAGATCATCGGTCAGAAAAAAAGTTATGATTGAAGTGATGTGTAGATGTACATGTATAAAGTCATTGGTATTGTAATGATTTGCATTTTGCTCCTAAAAGGATTTTTTATTCCTAAATTTTCAAATTATTTTTGCATATACGTGTACATTTGAACGCTTAATGAAGTGGTGGATCCAGGATTATTTTCTAGGGAAAGAAATTGGTTCAAAGTAAAATAAAATCTTGTTGTTTGAGAAACATAGCATTTATACAGAGCTTGATGAGCTTAAATTGCAATATTTAATCTGATTTGGGTTTTAAAGATGATTCCTCTACATCACCCCCCCCTTAACAAAGACATTGAAAGTGTTCTCAAGAAAACTACAAAATTATATTGGCTGATGAAAAAATGGATAATAATTCAAAGTTATTTAATAATTCAAATAAACAACATAATTTATCATTAATTTTTACCATGGGCGTTTGTAAAAATAATTATTTCAGAAAAATCTTCAAGGTTTTAACAATTACATTATAGAAATGTTAATATTTTACTTTAACTCGAGTTGGTTTCTTGCTCTTTCGAAAGGTAAATGTCTGTCTCCTCTCTGTTTCCTTTCCTTGCCGAAATTTCTTGAAATCTCTGAAGGAAGGCAAAGCTCTTGTAGAGAAACTTGCATCTAAAAAGGGTTGAACTGTTTAAGTAGTGATAATTATTAATAAGAGGATTTGTATTACACACAAATCATTTGGACATCCCGTCGAAATTCATTGAAGAAGATGGGGGAACAAGGCGCGCAGAATGCCTATAGCTTAAGATATTAAGAAATCATATTCATTTTCAGTTTGTGAATTAAATATTAAAATTAAGTTCGCATTATTAAAATTTATGAAATTATGAGAAATAAAACTTTTCCGAAAAAAAAAATCATGGAAAAAATTATTCTTTTATTGAAATATTTAAGATAGTATCATATTGCTTTGAGACTAAAGCGCTAACCACTTCGCTACACAGCTCATATAATCATTCAAAAGAAATAGGGGCATTTAAATCTTATTTGTGATAGTATGTGTATTTTTAGTACACAAATAATTACAGTCTTCTTTGTAAATTGTAGAGATTTTTAAATATAATATATATTTAAAATTAGATGAAATATCAAATAAAATTTGGATATAATTGATATTTGATTTTTTACTTCATGTCTGTCTCACTATAGGCACTTCGTCCGCCCCCTTTCTCTCTTCTTTCTCTCATCCTGCACCCATGCAGAGTTGTCGTTCGTTCCTCGCTCAGACACCTCTGCAATGGGCTCACGTCAAGATTTTTGACATAACGTATAAAACATGATATTTGCAGGATT